TAACATGTTGATGGACTGTGATATGAGCATCTCAAGGTAAGAAATCAACCCTGAACTGTAATTTTCATAACAAATGAAAAGCAAGTTTCTAAGATATTGTTTTAATATTCCAAAAAGGTTGTTGTATGATACATAAACACCTCACAGGAGAAACCAATTTACTGACAAACAGCATAAATGCGCCACTAGAAATGGTTGAAATAATTTACAAGTTTTTTTTGCATTTACAAAGCTTTAACAAGCCTGCTGGAAAAACAGCACGTAGTACCAAAAATGTATCAAGTTCCACAGCAATAAGATTATTTTACATTCTACGTGACATAATTAATACTGCACTGGCATTAAGGGCAGAATAAAGTAATTTCTAGTTTCTTAGCACCCATCTACTCATTTTTAAAAAAGTTTAAAAAAACGTATTGATACGCTTAATCAATGAACTGTATCATGGAACATTTCCACAGTCTTAATACATGTTACTATTTAGGCAGTTTGGATTGTATTTCTTTGATGTTACAGCATTCCAAGACACTAAAGTGATGACAATTTGTTGATATATATCCCACAGTGAGTCTTTCAGATGTACACTGAGAGTCCCACATAAATGGGAATTGCATTGCACTTAAAGTGAAACAGAGAGAGAGTATGTAGGTAAATTGTTTACCAAAAAGAAACCCTATGATTCTTACCTACCAACTCACTGTTTGGATTTTCACTTGCATAAGAAACTAGGAATTAATGCAGTCTACCCAAAGGTCTAGAGATCAAAAATTCACAACTGACTTGAAAACAAGGTATCAAAGATAAGTAACAAAAAGTAGAAGCATTTGAAGCCCACAATATTATTCTTAAAATTGGCACTGTTATGCTTGTCTTTTAAAAACAACAATCAAAAAATATCATTAGCTATAGAGAACCATGGCAATTGCCATTTGCAAATACTGACTGCTGCCTTCAGTTAAATTGGTTACATAGCACATTCCACATCTATTTGATCAATAGCAGCAAAACATTACATGTGCCCATGAAAATAATTCCCGCACAAGATTATTGAGGCTGTTACTAAGAAAAATCTCTTCATGATAAAGCTCAGTAAGCGAAGAAGCAAATGGAGCTGTGCCAAATAATGTTTCTTCATTTATTGATCCTCACCTCTAAAATTCATCTTAATACTTGATGTGCCCATGATCTCTATTCCACTGTTAACATTACAAGAATATATGCAATCCTTGCATTTTATACATTATATTATGTAAACTAGACAATATATTAATATAGGTGTATTGCACAATAATGAACTCAAAGACGGTTGGATTTTACATGTTTAGAATCAACATTATCACAGACAAAACAGGATTTTATTGTACCATAACCTGTATTGATATGAATTTTGCGTTCATTATTGCTTCACTCTAATACACCTTGTCACAGTTTTGCACTTTTAAAACATCACGAGTCAATTTAAACACAAATGAAATGGGGATGCATTGTTTGCACAGATGCCCCAATATTGTCAATGAAAAGAGTCTTTTTTTCAGTACACAAGTTTTCCAATGTCTTCACCTTTGAAACACTTGGAAATGTAAACGTTCTGTTATACTGATGTTTGTGTAGTCAACCTCTAGATTGAGTCAGGAAGTGGTAATTGTAGCACTTTTTGCCATCTGCTTAACTCCAACTAACATAATCAGAGTTCAGCCATTTTGAGCTTCCAAAAGCATTAACTCTTCCTTTTCTAAGGTATTTTCAAAGATTTTGATGAAATACAACAGGGAAAAAAATCATTCAGTATGTATATAAGCCTTGAACGGTCTATTTTTATTGATTGTGTTTGGACAGTGTATAAGATAATGTGATATTAATAGCAGAAGGACCTCAAATGTACTTAGAGATACAATAAACCCTTGTTGCAAAATGCTGCCATACTGTTGAAAGCCCTATTAGTGAAGCAAAGTCTGTGATCTTTGTTTGTGAATGAAAATGAGCTCTGAGCATGCTATACTGTATAATACAGAGCTTTAGAAAAACCCTTGGAAATGAACATGATTTAATATGGACACCATCACAATCCATTATTGCTTATGTGTATTTACCAGTACCTTTGCTTATGTTGTAAGTTCCTGCACCATATATATCCCATGGATGCTTTTGTACACGTGTGTGTGCCTGTAACATTAGATGTCCAGTAACAGATCAAGTAACTGGTAGAAACATTACTTGAAGGACAAGAGTGAAAAAGGCAAGAGAAGAACAAGAGAGATTAAGTGGTTCAAGATATTGTATGTTCTTCCCTCCCTTGCAACATTTGCTTAGGCACCTTGCTTCAAAATTCAGTAATGTTTGTGTTGATTAATGCTGGCAACTGATCAAAACAAAGGTCACATTATGAAGGAGAATCAAATAGGCTGTTCCAAGAGTTAGATTAAAAAAAAACAGCCTGAAAGTATATACAAATTAAGCAAAATTTGGTAAACAAATATTCACTGATCACATAATATTGATGGAATTTGGATACATAGTTTTGATGTTAATGTAAATAGCATGTGCCACACAGATGGTGATATTCTATGTTCCCATGACACAAAAGCCTGAGACAGTATCATGCCCATTCAACATTCTGGTGACCAGAATGTGATATGCTTGTGTCAGAGGAGCTGAAGTAGAGGTTTGTGATGGAAAGAAACTTGCACCTGTTCTAGTTGCTTAGGATACCCAACAAATCCTCTCGCTGTTAAGTGCAATTTGAAGGTGAACATGGTACTAGTAACCATGGAGGATAGATACCTCCTTTGCTGAGTTAAAACATAATACCTTAGTGACAAAATTATTTTGAGCACTTGGATTCTTTTACCTTTATTGGGTTACCTCTCCCTCAATTTGAAAAAGGTAAAGGGAACTCTTATTTTGCAAAGGCAAAAGGCTTCAAAATGTCTGAGGACACTTACTTAAGGACTTTAAAACTGTTGATGGCTAAAAATGGTTATCATCCTGGATCTTGGTGATTTACAGTGAGACTGCAACAAAACTGGAATCAGACCTATTGTCTTCATAATTCTGAGTCCTATTAAAAGTTCAGATCCCTGTAACAAAAAATCAAAATGAATTAACTGCCAAAGATACATTTTTTTTTGCAATTTTTGGAATCTGTTGGCATCTAGTTTGACCATATGCAGTATGTTCATTTCATTGTGTTCCCTAAATGTGTGCAAATTAACTCACACAAATATAAATCTCCTAATGAATATCCTCAGTATTTATTGTTCTAATACTAACTTTGAATATTTCATTGTTAAATCTCAAGGCTCTTTTGCATTATTTAAAACATTTACAAGAAACATTGGAGTAACTTAAAGCTGCAGTATCCCTTTAGTTTGTGTTGCCTGTGGACTGATTGAAAAACAAAACCATATTATCACAGGATCACAAGAGAGGTTTGAATGAAAAAGGCCTTTTGGCCCATCAAATTCTGGATATTCTTTCTCAATATCCACCCTACATTTTTTCCCATTACAGTATCAAACTATTTCTTCTCTCATCCACTCTTCCTCATAACCTGGGACAGCATCTAATAAATATCTCTTGAGGAACATATATCTAAATGTATTCAGTGAACATATTATCTTCTCTTTCCCATATATATAATATACTTATATGCAAAAAGTATTTAGTGAACATATTCTCTTCTCTTTCCCATATATACAATAAAACCTCCAACCTAAGTGACTGCTGGGTTGAGACTTTGACTTTCTACTACAATATAGCAAGCTAAACTGGAATAACAATACAAAATAGATAGAATTTCAACAACTTACACCTCTCAAGTTACAGTTACATGAATAGCAGATGGTTACTCTAGTTTGGTCATGAATTAGTATTAAAATACAAATGATTTAGAGAAATTGGAAGGCTTAGCTGACTGACTGATGGTTTACTTCTATGTGAAATTGTTTCTATGTGACTAAATTTTAAAAAATTACATTGCACTTGTAGAATCACAACAACTTGCATTTATATAGTGCCCCTCACGCAGGGTAGCGTCCCAAAGCACTTAATATTACAGCACAGAGAGAGGCCACAGTGGGCTGGCTCTTTGAAATAATGGTCTACACTAATAGTTCACAACAATTCAAGTCATGACAAATTCCAGATGCATTATTGTTTGCTACCAAATTCTGAGCATGTGGTATAATTAATTCAAGGGATTTTTGAAATGTGCTCTTGGGGTATGTTTAAACAGAACTTACAGTGAATTATAACTTACAATTAAGCTAGTCTATGATTTCATTCATGTAACTGGTCACAAATGATAAGCTGTAAAGAACCATAAGCTCAAAAAAGGGACTGTTAGGTGTGAGCTGTTAGTAAAAATATTGAAATATTCCATATATAAGAAATGGAGTAAATTATCACCTTGGTGATTGAAATGAAGAGTTTGAGATTGCTACCAACATTTTATATAAGCAATATTATTTTGACTTTTAAAGATAATCTATGGGCCAAATCTATGGGATACTGCAAATATATTCCACTCCTTAATGTAGAATTGTATATTTCATATAATGCATCTACATGTCTTCTTTCAAACTAATCACTTGTTGGTCATCCACGTGTTTCTTTTCTATGGATTACCCCACTTCTTTAATGCAAAAAGATGGAGGTTATTTTGGTCCTGGATCTCATGATCATCAGTCATCAAAAGTACATTCATTTTTGGTCTCAACCTTTTGAGAAGCTTTGCAGTTTCCCATCAGGGAGGAAGGGCAGAACAATCTTGGTAACAGATTGCTCCAGTTATTTTACCTGCAACCATTTCTTTTTTTTAAGACTTGCCATCATGGTCAAAGCACTTGGTATTTAACAACACCTAAGCCAAGTTCTTCCTCTACCCTTCTCTCTCAACTATGTACAAGGAAAGTTCCAGGTGAAAAGAGCCCACAAAGTTTAAGGCCACTGGCAGAAGATTTCTGTGCCGAAAATTGTTGTGCAATTCCAACACTCTGAGTAATCCCATCTTCAATTATTCAGAATCAATGCCGTATTTTGTCGATATGAATAAAATAAATTATGCTTGGGTTAAAATCGGTGAAACGTTCCACATTTCTTATTCATCTGAGTCCGTCTTTGTAACCAACATGTGTTTTACATTCACAGAGATGAGGAGCTCTGAGCATAGTCACGCAGGACAAGAGTGTCATATCTGGGAGTCGATGAGATGCAAAGTGCTGATTCTGACACAGGAGAGTTGGGTGAACCACTCCCTGAATCAACAGAATCTCTGAAAGGAGAGGGAGGAGTGAGAGCTACCAGCTCCTCAAAGTCAGTTTTGATCACAGAAGTCTCTGAAGTGCCATCTTTGACATTGGTATAAGATACACCGCTTGCAGACTGGGAACGACCATTCACCTCAATGGCGGGGAGAGGCTGGATGTCAGCATAAGTTGTCAAGGGCGCGGGTATCTGTATCTCCTTAGGGAGTAGGTATGAAGGGCAGATGGGAGTCGCTCCTATGACCCCTGCTGGAGCTGATGAGAGCATCATGGAGTTTAGCTCACTGATGTTGGCCGTGAAGCGGTTCACCACACTGCTGATCTGCTCCATCAGAGAACCTTGGGAAGAGCTGCTTCTCTGGACATGTTCTGCCTGGAATGAGGGTGCATCATTCTCTGCTGGGCTTACAGAGCTATGTCTGTGGCTCACAACACTGATGGGCGAAGGTGTCTGTGGCACATACTGAACTGGGTAATGCTCTTCTGCCTCAGAGACATCATACAGACATTTTACATTTGCGTCTGGGTAGCTGTGGCTGCTGTGCCGACTTTCGGGGGTCTTCGAGAAAGGCTTGATTAGAGCAGATTGTTTGGAGGTGTTATCCCTCTTCTTTATGTGGACAGAAAGCCTCTTCCAAAGGTGTTGACCTCGAGTAGCTCGTTCAGTGTGAGCCCAGGTTACTGATTTTCCATTTGAGCTGCAGGTGGAACCAAGAGATAAAAAGTTAGATTGGCTTCAGACGGAACAAAAGCAATCCACTCTTGCACAATGAATTGGGGGAGCTTCAGGCACCACTGAAGGTTATTGCAGAGATGACAAGAACAACCAATTCTCAAAGAACAGCTAGACATTTTTATCCAGAATCTAAACAGCTTCTGTTTCTGCCAGTCACACAAACCTATAATTACTAACAGTGAATCTTTAATCTTTATCCACGAAGCTAGAAGACCAGCGTTTGATTCCCCTGGGGGCAAAACCTTAGATTTAGAAACTGTTTCCTTACTCTACATGTGTCTGTTTACCTTGCAGTAAGTAGGAACCTGGTGGATCACTTTCCTGGGGTAATATCCCCTCAAACAAAATATCTGGTCACTCAATTGGCTGCTGGGTTTGCCCACAAAATACACAATCAATCCTGTGAAGCGCTGTGAGATGTCTGAACAATGTGTTAAGGCACTATATCAAAGGCAAGGATTATTATTATTATCCTCATCAGGCTGATTTGACATGTTTTAAGTCAGATCCACATAAATTTCATTGTTTTGCTGAATTATGAAAATATGTTCAAATCATTATTCATTAATTTTTAAAAAAAAAGACATTTGTAAGAAAATTTGTATTCCAGTTAAATTGTTAAAATGTTAAATTGGATTTTGGGATAGTTAAGTCATTTAGAAGTAATTTTACATTCACATTATGAAAGAAGAAGTATAACTTTTGCTGGATATTTTTCTCCCAACAACAGATGCGTTAGGTCTTTTTTNGTTATTACACAAATGGTTTGCTATGCATCTCGGTATCATTTTTTAACTTTTCAATGAATTAGTGAATAAATGGATCATATGGTTTGCTATTAAACTGTTTAGTTCAGGAAAGTCTAGGTTCAAATCTTTGGTCGGCATTGGCTAGCTGTTCTCCGCCAAGGATGTAATGATGGTTACTCCAGTTAAAGTTAATAGACTCAGGTTACTAAGAAAAAATACCATCCAGCCATTCTGATGTCTACCCAGTGTCTGCCTGTTGGAAGTTTGCACTTGGATAACTGGTGAGAGCAGGATCTGTTTTGACTGGGATATACCTTTGGTCAAATTCCTTACTAACATTCAGAATTAATGCTTATGTGTGAAGAACAGAGGTACAGAAGGATCACAGGCACAAATGTATGAAGGGATCTAAAATAAATATTTAAGGGAATACTAAAGGTTTACCTTATAGTAATCTAGCTCCATATTTTAACTCACAAATTTAGTTTGGATGAAGAAGGCCCTTCGAGCCATCTGATCTCATTCTTCCAAAATACCCATTCTACCTTCCTCCTATCGCAGCATCAATTTGGTTCTATTGTGTTTATTTTTATTGCATATTTTTATAAAACTAAAGCAATATTAAAATAAAAGGATTTTTCAATGAGAATCTTCAGGTAATATTAATTTGATGATCTATTAAGATGCATACTAATCGCAATTCATTTTATTGCAAGCTTAAATTCAGATCGTGCCATATTAAATATTACTTGATTCACATTGACCTCATAGTGCAGGAAAACAAAACACATTTACCACGTTGATTATATTTAAAATTTGATTCTGCAACATAATTTATTTCCATCACGTGACTTCCCAATGCATGCAAACATTTCTAGAGAGCAGATTGAATCTAAAAATATACAGCACACCAATAACAACAAATTGTGCTCAAATAGTCGGAAAATGTCTCAAAGCACTTTACGAAGATTTAATGGGAGCTTGAGCTTTGAGGGAGAAAGGGAGGTGGCTGAAGGCACAATTAAAGAGATTGATTTTCAGATAGATTTGAAAGTAGAAAAGGAAAGCGTGAGGTGGAGAGATTTCAAAAAAGATTTCCGAGGATACAGCAATAGAAAGCTCATGTGCCGATGGTAGCCTGGAGCAGGCAGGAGGAAATTAAGTGACCAGAGTTGATGTAACGAAGAAACTAGCTGAGGGAATAGGGCTGCAGGAGATCACCCTGGTATGGTGGATAGGGCAGGAAATGGAGACATTTGATAGTGAAGATATTATAGTCAATCTGCTATGAGAAATAAGCCGGAAACGGTCAGGGGCTCTGCCTACTACAGAGGATGGGAATCTTCGGTCGAGGAAAAAGGAGAACATTTCCGTTGCTCTGGTGTGAAAGGTGGCATCATCAGAGCAGATGCAGCGGAGGTGGAGGAACTGGGAAAAGAGAATGGAGTCTTTAGAGGAGGTGGGGAGGGAGGAGGTGTAGTCCAGTGGGAATTGGTGGGCTTGTAAAGATATCTGTTGATAACTTATGCACCGAGATGGAAATTGTGGAGGAAAGGAAGGGAAGAGTCAGAAGATGGACCATGTGAATGTTATGGAGGAGTGGAAAGTGGAAGCAAAATTGGTGAATTTTTCCAGCTCACTGCAAGAGCAGGAAGCAGCCCCAACACAGTCATCAATGTATCTGAAAAACAGTTCAGGGAGAGGACCTGAGTAGGCCCGGAACAAAGAGTGTACCAGGTGGCCAACAAACAGGCAGGCATAGCTGGGACCCATGCGGGATCCCATAGTGACACCTTTTAGGAAGTGGGTGGAGTTGAAGGTGAAGTTTGAGTCCCGTAGCTCAGTGGTTAGAGCACACGCCTCACACGCGAGAGATCGGGGTTCGACTCCCGGCAGGGCGAAACCTTGGCCAAGTTTCTTTACTCCACATGCCTGATAATAATCGCTCAAGAAAAAAAAGTAATGATTTGGGCACTCAATCCACGACTGTTTGTGGGACACTGCTGTGTGCAATTGGCTGCCGCATTTTTCCCAAAAATATATAGTGAATTCACTTTATAGTATATTCTGTGAAGCGGTTTGGGGCATCTAGAATAATAATAATAATCCTTGCAGTTGATATAGCGCTTTTCACGTCTTCTAGACGTCCCAAAGCTCTTCACAGAATATACTGTAAAGTGAATTGACTGTATATTTGTGGGCGAACGTGGCAGCCAATTGCGCACAGCCATGTCCCACAAACAGTCATGGATTGAAAATAACCAATTTATTATTGTTTTGTTTTTTGGAGGGATTATTATTAGGTGTGTGGAGTAAGGAAACTTGCCCAAGGTTTTGCCCTGCCTGGAATTGAACTCAGGTCTCTCACTTGCAAAGCGAGTGCTCTAACCACTGAGCTACAGGACTCCACAAGAAGACGTGAAAAGCGCTATATTAAATGCAAGGATGATTGTTATCATAAATTGTTCAATGTCAGAACAAGTTCAGCCAGGCAGAGGAGGGTGGTGGTGGATGGAGACTAGTTGGTTGGGCTGCTGTTTGAGATGGAAGTGGAGGGCCTGCAGGCTGTCCTCATGGGGAATGGAGGTGTAGAAGGACTGAACCCCCAAACACAGTTTTCAAGTGAGACAGTGATTTACATGTACTACCATCAATGTAGTTTACTGCATTCGCTGCTTAGGATGTGGTCTCCTCTACGTTGGGGAGACCAAATGCAGATTTGGGGACCGATTTGCCGAACACCTCTGTTCTGTCCACAAGCACAACCCTGAGCTTCCGGTTTCTTGACACTTTAACTCTCCCTCCCACTCGCACTCTGACCTCTCCATCCATGGTCTGCTACGCTGTTCGAATGAACCACAGCACAAGCTCAAGGAACAGCACCTCATCTATATGCTAGGGATTTTACAGCCCTCTGGCCTCAATATTGATTTCAATAGTTTCAGACCATAACAGCTCACCTTCCCTCTCCCCCTCTTCCCAGACACACCTTTTCTCTCTTTTGTCTACCTGTTTTGTTGCAATTCTCCCCCTTTGTTTTTGCATTATTAACACCTGTCTCCATAGATGCTGCCTTACCTGTGAGTGTTCCCAGCAACTTCTGTTTTTGTTTCAAACAATATATTGATGTGTTGGAAAGGCTTCCGAGTTAGAAAAATAAACTGGGGAGGTTGATACGATCAGCATCTGAGGTGAGGAAGCATTGATGGGAACCGAGCAGGATAGCCTCAGTTTTGTCGAAATTGACATTGTTGACAAACTAATGTTACTGAGGTAGAACCACAGAACCATAGAAATTCATGGTACAGAAGAAGGCCATTTGGGCAAACATGTCTGTGTCGTTTCTCTCAAGAGAAATCCTTTCAGTCCCATTTACTTGTCATTTCCCAATATCCCTGTAGTTAAGGTATTTGTCTAGCTCTCTCTTAAAGGCCAATATGGATTCTGCCTCAACCACCACACCTAGCAGGACATTCCATACACTTAGGGATCTGTGTGTGAAAAAAAATCTCCTAACTTCCCCATTTGCTTATTTACCAACTGAAATTGACACCCTCTAATTACTGATTGGAAAGCTGTTAAAGAACCTTAAAGAAAAGTAAAACAGAAGTTTATGCTTTTACTTTCATGAAGATTTGCACTTACATGCACTGTTGGTTAAATAATAACAATCCTTGCATTTGATATAGCGCTTTTCATGTCTTCTAGACGTCTCAAAGCGCTTCACAGAATATACTGTAAATAAATAAATAAATAAATAAATAATCCTTGCATCTGATATAGCGCTTTTCACGTCGGGAGGACGTCCCAAAACGCTTCATAGAACACACTGTAAAGTGAATTGACTGTATATTTGTGGGCGAACCGGCAGCCAATTGCGCACAGCAGTGTCCCACAAACAGTCATGGATTGAAAATGACCAATTTATTATTGTTTTTTTTTGGAGGGATTATTATTAGGCGTGTGGAGTAAGGAAACTTGCCCAAGGTTTCGCCCTGCCTGGAATTGAACTCAGGTCTCTCGCTTGCAAAGCGAGTGCTCTAACCACTGAGCTACAGGACTCCACAAAGTGAATTGACTGTATATTTGTGGGTGAAATGCGGCAAACAAATTGAGCACAGCAGTGTCTCACAAACAGTTGTGGATTGAAGTGACCAATTTATTATCGTCTTTTTTCTTGAGGGATTATTATCAGGCGTGTGGAATTAAGGAA